AACTTTGGACTTCATAAAAAGAAGTTCAACTTTCATTAAAACCCGTAGAACAAGTGATGAGAAACCCACCAAAGTAGGATTGCACTTGCAATAACAAGTAAAATAAATCTGTCAATATATTTTCAAAGCACAAAGTGTTGTATTTTGATTTTCTTAATAAAAAATCAATTCCCACCAACCCATTGAATAAGCGGATGGGAACTCGTGATACTCTGGTTGCACTTGTGATGATAAATGGTAATGCAAGCCGCCAATTCATAAAAAGTAGCTTGGAAAAAGCTATAAGTGGATTTCGTTAGATGAAAAGCAACTTCCATCAAACCCGTCGAATAGGTGGTGGGGACCTAAGAAACTTAGACAAACTTGTAAAAACAAATTAATGGGTCATCAATTTGTTTAAGAACTTTGGACTTCTTAAAAGGAAACCCAACTCCCATCAACCTATCGAATAAACTAAAAAGAACCCACTAAAGCAGGTCAAACCCAATTGAATGGGAACAAGAATCATCAACCAGGAGATTCAAAATTCATCACAAAATTTAACAAAATTTTTCTTTATGATCTCAAAATCCATATAAAAATATTAAAATTAGGGGTGAAAATAAACTTTTTAATTCATTTAGTAAACACAAAACGGACACTAAACAAAACTTATGGTGTTCAAGGTGGGTTTGAGAAAGTTTATGACGCTTTAAGTGGGTCATATTTTGAATAAATTATGATGTTATGATGATTTGGTCAGAAGTGGTGCTTATGGGTGAAGGCATGTTTATCTTCTTTACGTATGTGAGTTTTTATTAATGGGATCTTTTTTTCTGAATTTCAAATATGTAGAGGATTAAGACAAGGTGATCATTATTTCTTTTTCTTTTTCATACTAGCTATGGTAGATCTTCATGGTGCTATTAAAGATATAGCAGAACATGTTAATTGTCTCTTATTTTGATGTGGATGAAATGTTATTTTCTGGACAAAATTGCAAGAATCGTCCCTATGGTTAGGTTGAAATTGCCACTTTGGGCCAAACATGTTTGGACTAGCACTCATGGTCCAAAGGTTTTCATTTTTTTGTCACTTTGGTCCAATTTACTTTAAAAATTTTTATAATGACTATTTTGCCCTTGGTATTTGCTTTTTCAATTTTTATTTATTTATTTAAATACTTTTATAATTTAAAGAAAATAAAAAATACATCTATCTCTCTGTCTCCCCTTCTATTCCCCTCCACTAGTCAACCACTAGCAGCACCATCGGTTACCACCGCCACCACCCTCGACTTTTCGGTAAACACCGCCACCACCGGTCAATACCTCTCTCTCCCTCCATCACCTGGCGGAAAAATATGAACAACCACCACTTTCACATGCCGGAAACCACCGCCACTCTCTCTACCTCTCTCTCTCTCTCTTTACCTCTCTCTCTCTCTCTCTACTGATGAACCCATAGTCTTTCTCCAGATTTTCTAACATACAAGAATACAAAAAAATCTGAAATTTAACATACATGAACACATAGGAGACAGAAATGTTGATCGCAGATTGGAGCTACAAACTTTTCTTGGTCCGTTATCAATTCAAACCTTCACAAACGTAGATCGATCTTCTGCCTCGTATCACCGTCTTCGCCTATAAAACCCTAATCGTTCTTGTGCCTCCTATCGCCAGCGCCATTCGTGGTGAAACCCTTGGTAGTTTTTATGCCTCTGATCTATGAAAGGGAATTACAACTACTAGACGATAAGGGAGGTCTGAAGATTTGTTTGTGGTGAAGGGGTGAAGAAAGAAAGGAGAGACGCTCAAACCCAACAACGTTACTCAAACCCTTACGTTGGCGGCTAGGGTTTTCATATGGATTGTCCTCTATGTCCTCTGCTCCGATGACGACTTCACCTCTGCAAACCCTACATCGACGAATAAGAAGAAAAATCTGGCTCAGTTCATCCCTCTTTCCCAGTTTGTCCTTCAACTTCATCGCCTTCGTCGAGTCGCATATGGAGTGTATGTGTTTGCTCTGAGATCTGAAGAAGAAACGAAGTGATGCAAACCCTAGCAACGTCGAAACCCCCGCGTTCCAGCCGCCATCATCTCCTCTTTAAACCCTAACTTTGTCTCTCCCCTTCTCTAGTGATGGTGCCTTCTCATCAGATCTTGAAGAAGAAAACCCTAGTTTCGGATCATAAAGGTGGCGGTGCTAGGGTTTCGTAAAAGTAACGTTCAAAACAGAATGATGATGGTGGTGTGGGAATCAGATCAGGTTCAAAGGTTGCATAGTCGTGGTGGCGGCCAAGAGTTAATAGAAGAAAGGAAGAGGGCGTCGGAGGTTGGTGATGGCGGCGGTGATGGCAGATAGTGGTGGCAGTTAGGGTGTTATTATGTATGTGTTTCCCTAAGAGAGAGAAAGAGAGGTGACGAGAGAGAGAGAGAGAGAGAGAGAGAGAGAGAGAGAAGCATTTTTCTTTTCTTTTTTATTTTTTATTTTTTATTTATTTTGTAAAAAAAATTAAAAAAAAAAAAAAAAACAAAATACAAAGGGAAAAATTATCATTTAAAACCATAAGGGACCAAACTCGCAACAAAATAAAACTTTTTGGACCATTGGTGCTAGTCCAAACCTGTTTGGCCCAAAGTGGCATTTTTCGACATACCACAAGGACCATTCTTGCAATTTTGTCTATTTTTTGTAGAGTCATTTGTATCTTGAATTCTTTTTCTTTGCTTCTGGGTTGCATATAAATTTGCAAAAGTCAAATTCATATATGATAGGATGGCCATTGAGGATATCGAGACATGATTAATGAGTTTTGTTCGACGAAACTTCCCTTTATTTATTTAGGGATTCATATCGGTATGAATATGTTTTATGTGACCATGGTGTGCACCCCTAACTTTAACCATATTACATAATGGGGACCTTGGTGGGTTGAACTGAATGGCGGAATTTTATTATGGAAATATTTTGGAAAAAGGACTTTCTAATTGGTAGGTTAAAGCTCTCTCTTTTAATGGTCATCCTATTTTAGTAAAGATCATGTTATGAAGTTTAGGATTTTCTACATGTCCATATTCAGAGCGTAGGATAAAATTATCAAGTTAATAAAATCTATACGAAGTATATTTGGGGGAGGATATACCGATGAAAAGAAATTACTATATGTTCTAGTTCTTATGTGACCTTTGTTTTACATTTAGGCTATGGGGTATATACCCAACGCAAAGGGCATGGTGATGATGCGGACAGAGGATCACAAGTTCACAACATACACACCAGCTACCTTGATGTGGAGGGGCATGTCTTAGTCGTGTGTCACCGGATGACTCTTTCAACTAGTCAATAACATGTCCCATTTAGCATGCTTTCGTCTAAGTGAGGCTAACTTCATTCATTATGATGTATTAGCGAACTAGCAAGTAAGAAACTAAGTCTAAAGACTTCGACAAAGAAAACAAATACGGATATTACTTCAAACTCTTAAAATATTAAAAGGAAAGTCTTGAGGGATTCTACAAAATAGCCCTCCCTCTATTTATAGGATCCTTACAACTCAAGGTTGGTAGAACTTGTGCTATCTTTAACTATTCTAGATTTATCCTACTAATCTAAAAAGACTTCTATATTATTCTTTACTACTTTATGATATCCTAGAGATTTTTAGGATGTTCTAACGTTATCCAAGTCACCATTGCAATGTCTAGTATGCTCTAAATCGTTTCATAGTCTTCCAAGTTATTCTAGCTTCTTCTAGCGCCTTTTTAACTATTTTTGGGTGTTAGATATTCTTGCATCTTCCAGAGTCTCATTGGGTGTTCTCGATCTATCCGGAGACATTCTTGATCGTTCTAGTGCTCTTTAGAGGATCCAGGAACTTGGTTCGTGGCATGTGGCTGACCACACGAGTAGGTCTGGAAACCGTGTCGTGTTTGGGTTTACGGATCGTGGGTTGACAGGTTAAAAATATACCAACCCGAACACGATCCATTTAACTATATAGGTCACAAGTTTGTGGGTTTTGAACATAAACTCATATATGTCCCGTAAACCCACTTATTTATACGGGTTCACAGATTAGCGGGTTCGTGGTTCGGATTTTGGTTCGTAGGTCGGATTTGCATTTGTGTATTCGTAGGTCAGATTTCATAAATAAAATTAATAATTAAGCATGAATAAATTCTTGATGCAAGCATATTCGTATTTTACAAAACTTAAGTTTTAAACATACAAATGAAAATTAAAAACATTCATGAAAATATGTTTAAACTAAAACATCAATACAAGCAAAGATAAATTCAATGGTATGCTTCGATGTCGTTCAATGATGATTCAATCATTCATGACGTCGTTCTTCGTAAGTTCATTATGTTCATTACTCGATTTTGTTTGTGAGATACTGATATTATTTAGGGCAAACAATAAACGTGTCGCAATACAAATCAGCAAATGGTTACCCAGAGGTCTAATGATCAATGGTTACCTATGGGTCAATTGATCATTGGTATCGGATATTCTACATTTATGGTCAACTGTATAGTCTATATAATAATTAATATATTTAAAAAATATATAATTTGTTATTAAAATTATAAATAGCACGTAAATCCATGTATTGTTTGAAAAACTCATATATAACATGTTTAATAAACGGATACACAAGATAATGGTAGAAAAGT